GACATTTACCTGACTAAAGATGATAAACTCGTTGCTTTCCACGATGACAATACACAGGTTAGAAAACGGGTATTTACTTAACTAGTTCTTACTTTCTATTTAAAAGGGAAACATGGTCGTATTATTTGACTTCTAATTTTTTTTTTCTAGAATTTGACCGGAGTAAACAAGACCGTTTGGGAAATGACTGCAGATGAACTAACCAATCTTACTATCAAAGATTCTCTTGAGTTCGGTAAAGTATTATAGTTATGCATACCACTTTTTATTTCCGTGTTCTTTTCAATTGTTCGAGTCTTGTGTGTGTATGAGAAAGTAGATGGGGACGGGGCTGGGGTGGGGAGAGGGTTTAAGAGGAGAGGGGTAGGTGCAGGCATCATTACCTAAGATTTGAAAATTACAGTTGTCTTAAGGACGTTTGCGGCATTGTTCTTCCGCATGGTTTTAGTGAGCGCGCTCTCATCGTGATGACGTCATTCGCGATGTTTTGATAAGCAAAAAATATCTTATATTTATCGTTGACCCCCATATTTCTTACCACCCAAAACCTACAACATAAGTGAATCATATCATAAATCCTTATTACTAACTCTTACTCAAATGTTTTAAATTTAGAAATACTAATAAAAATAGTCATATTTGATGGACATTAATTTTCTGCATCATTTTTTCTTCGATGTTTAATACCTTAGACTATCACAGCGCGCGTCTTTTCTTCGCTGAATACCTCATTTGTTTTATTCAATTTTTCACTTTTTTAGCAAGAATATGTTGGGATATGCTTATACCAAGTTTTAAAAAAAGGCAAACCTAACAAACACTTTACTGCATGCTATAAAGAAATAAAGACGACCAATGATGTCAAAATATATATTAGCAATTAGGATACCCTAGTTCTCTTGGAACTGCCGAAAAAAATGATGACAACTTTATTTATTTCTTCAGGCCCAAACACATACACGTTTTCCGGACGTCCTCACATACCGCTTGTACAAGACGTTCTCGAGGCGATGAATAATAGTGGTAAAATTATGTTTCTGGAGGTGAGAAATCTTATAGTCATAGTATTACCGTCAACAATATGGCCACCATTTTCAAAAAATGTTTTAAGTATGATAATTCTGATTATTATATACCAAGTGTCAAAATTCAATTTTCCACAATTTCTATTGGTCGAGAGTGTGTCACGCGAACGTGAAGAAATTCGACTGTTTCCTGGCGACCATTCTGGGAGGGGAATACTAATGTTATGGACCGGGAATAACAAAACCGGAAGTCACGTGAAATATAAAAACCAGAAAGCAACACATTTGAGCGCGCGTTTGCAAAATTCATTCACACGTTTTCTTTCACGAAACATCAGATTAAACATGGAATCTTCGCGATTTTCTTGTTCTCTTTGAAACTTGGTATGATAATAAAGCACTTATTTACTGGGACCTCGGGAAAGCAGTATGTTTCACTCGGTCCCAGTAAATAAGTGTTAATTATTTAAGAATAACTTGGGGTATGTAAGATATTTTCCGTTGGGAAAACGTCTAATGACAAGAGCTTTTAGTTGGCTTTTCAGTATTTTCTTGTTTCTTTATTGCTATAATTTTCCCGTAAGTGATAATGGACTACTGTCTACCCGAAAGAGAAGTTCTCCGCGGTCCCTGCGCGAAAATTAGTGCCCCATCCCCACTCGGTTCTATAGACCGAGTTGCTTCTGGTGGAAAGTAGTGCTATTTTTGTGTCGGCGTAAGGTTTTCGTTTCGAACCACTTGTAATTCCCTAGAGTATCATTCTTTGTTTAATGGTTGGTCTATATCTATTGTCATCCCCTCGAGAATACGAGAATGAGATTCGTTCTTTAAAATACCATTCGTAATATATAATGCTCACTAGAGTGAAATAACACGAGTTCTGAATATATAGGAAATTATGATTATACCAAGGCTGTTAAAGGTTTATATCTATAGCCTAATAAAGAATATCTGTTGTGTCCATTGTACCTGTAGATCAAGCCAAATCACGCAAACAACTTCAGTGCCAGCTCCAGGGCAGGTCAGCTAGTCGCTAAGATGGTAACAGATATGGGGCTTGTAAACCAGGCCTCTATTACGTCATTTGATCCAATCAAAGTACGAGCTGCACACCAAGAGAATCCGAATATTCCAACAGGAATGTTCTACATGAGACCCTACTGGGACACAAAATGTAACATTCTGCAAGACGCTTTACAGATGTTACCAGAGATGAAGGAATGCCCCTTGATTAATGTATCTGACTGTCAATCATTCATGAAAGGGGTGTTTGGATCTGGGGACGTATTGAAGGCTGTCAACGCATCCTTCTTGGACATGGATTACAAGATCTATGATAATTCTCTTTACTCTAACCACACCTTTGACGTTCTTCATAAGAACTACAGTCCTACAATCAGTGCAGGGGCATGGGCTATGTACAGTATGGCTCTGAAAAACGACTCTGCAGAGGATGTGAATCAAGATTCAGAGATTGAAAGGTTGAGGAAGATCGGAGTGAAACGATTCATCACGGATGATGTGAACCGTCTGCTTCATAAACTTGGTCGTGCTAGTACTAGTACTGTGCTTCCCGCGTCCGAAAGCACGACGCGTACGAGTTCGAGTTCGAGTTCGAATTCGAGTTCGAGTTCGAATTCGAATTCGAATCCCGCAAATACTACGCGTCCATCCTCTTCAGCCGTGAAAGAAATACCTTGCACTGCGTGCTACATGATGGCGTTCCTTATCTTGTTGTTTTGTTTTTAGTCTCGGTAATTGGAAAGGATAGCTGTACGCAAGCATATATAAGCTAGATTATTAAAAGAGATTCAGTAATTCAGTAAAAGCAGTAATAAATATTGCTAAAAATCCAAGTAATTTTAGTAAATAATCATCTTTGTTAAAAAGTGAAGAGACGTTTACTTTTATTTTTTATTTTTCCGGGAGGAAGTAAATGGCATGAATAAATAAAATAAGATAATAATATTGGAAATTTCATGTCGAAAAGGATTTAATTGGTATTGATTGATCCTACTACACTTAAACATTCGATGTTGATGGACTTAAAAAAACCGCGGCATGAATACTCACGAACAAATCGTTATTTGATCCCATATCTGCACAATGCCTAAAATCGCCCCACCCCATCCCCCCATCAGAATTCTTTGAATTTGCTGAGACTAAATCCATTTCGTGATAAATGATGCTATATATAGATGTCTTATAGTGCTGCCGAATCACGTTTCATGTCAGTATTTTTCTTGGAAATAGATTTTGCTCACGAGACCCGCTCATGACGTGATGTTTTCACTTTCGATTTTATTGAACTTTGAACTGAACTGTCAACTCAGCAATCATCTGATACCATGCATCGAGAAAACTAACTTTATAACCGTAAGAGAAGCATAAATGCATTGAATTGGTAGACAATACCACTTCATTCTGATCTCATGCTTTTGACAAGATTACAGTACGTTTTTCCAAGTTTGTTGAAGGATATAGGATGTCCGCTCCACGGTTCCTCTACCATCTTGAATAAATTATGATAATTAACATAGAAACGAGACGACCGGTGAGTCACATATTTACAAACTAAATTGAACTGAACAGAAAAGTTGGAAAGGAAGACAGAAAGCACTTTATAACATCTGCCAAGACGCTAGAAAACGCTGTGATGTCAATAGACACGACATCTCACTGTTCCATGTTCATATTAACATACTTTATAATATGAGAGGATTCTGAAAGGGAGGGGGAGTCCTAATTCCATTTCCCAGCCCCCATTGACCAAAACCCATTGCCCAGCCTATGTTTTGCTCAAATCGTCAATCCAATCATTAAATGAAAGCTATAGCTTTGTTAGCCATTGGCTATTAATTCTACCCTCGAGGACTGTTCATTTTATTTTCTATTTAACTAGGTGCAGTAATTGGTAAATGTAGACCCATCTAAGTATAGCTTATTATTTCATCAATTGTGTTTACAATGTACGTCTACCGGTCAGGTGTCATGCCAGCATCATATGCATGATTCCCGGCCAGAAGAAACAACACTCGTTCACGGCCACTGAATATCATGCCACGCTTATGACAACCGTACAAATGCAAAAGTAACCGGATAAGATTTGGGGGCGTTAACATCATATCTATCCACAAGCTCACTCTATTATATATTTACAGTTTAAAGATCCTGATAGAGCACTAGGGTTAATAAAAAATGGGGCTTGCTGCAGCCATTGACTCAATTTTACACTTAAACTTATTAAAAAGTCATATAAAATAAAGAAAATTTTTGAAGCAAAACAAATAGAACTTAATCTACCTTTAATAACTATTGTCATTCGAGTTCGACGTTTCGACGTCAACTTATTCAAAAAWATATTTTTAGGGACTTTTCTGAGAAATCCAACCCAGTCAGCAGCTGAATCATGTGCTATTTGATCCCGGAAAAAATCATGACCTCAAATGGTATAAAAACAGATCTGCAGAAACAAGTAGCTAGCTTAGACTGTGAGCTGTAAACTACAGTTAGTGACTGACTTTGGAGACTGAACGCAACGATTCTTTCGAAGGAGTAAAACGAGAGCAGAAAGCCATTTAAAAGTTAAGGTAAAGCATGAATTTCTGAATTGAAATTTTGATGTTTCCTGTAATAGCTTCACCATTATTTCCACCTCCTCTTTGTAATGACATAAGCACTGCTGAATCGGTTCAAGAATTTAGTTCGTTTTTTAAGAAATATTTTTTTAAAGCTGACTTTAATTTTGCCACTACAGTAAATTGTGCCTTCAAGATTTACGAATGAACGATGAAAGAATTAATTCACATCAACTTTCCAAATATCCAAAAATGTTCGAGTTATTTATATTTTTCAGTTTGTCATTCAGTTCGTATTAATTTTTTTTAAAATTTTATTAAACATTCAAATTACGTCCTCAATGATTAATATATGGTTGTATTTAGTATTCAAAGTAATAGAATGTTTTAAGGATGGAAACGTATATCAGGTTAAGCAAGGTTAGGTAGGGATGCATAGGAGATGAATACTTGTTAAAAAAAACGTGCTGAAATTTGCTGTTTTAATCATTTTTGTAACTTTAAGGTCAAGTTATAAAAAAAGCAGTCAAAATATGAAAGTTTTTTAAAAGTTTACTTTTTAAACAATAAAATTGTCTTCCCGAGCAGATACTTTYATTTTTCGCATAGTTGTTTTCGCATCCGGACATTTGTAATTTTGTAACTCCTTTGAATTTTTGAATTGGTTCTCGTGTATAAAATGGGAAAACATCCCACTCTAACACATAAAAGCTTAGCTCAATCCAAAGCATTTATTCTGATTTATCTATATATTATATTACAGCTGTCAAGAGGAATCACACAAAATGAAATTCCTACTGACAATTCTTGTCGTGATCTTTGTCTCTTCATCTGCCGAGGGTAAGTGAAACTACGCATGCGTGAGGTAATACTTGCCAGTACTTGTTGTAATCGGACATCGGAATGATTCTTTGTGTGAGATTAACAATTTCCGGTTTCGAAAGTGAACCTTGCGCAAGACATTTTTTGACTTTATGCATGAGTTCTATTACAAAGAGAAATGTTCTGGTAACATAGGAAATAACATGTTAGAATATTAGGGAGAAAACTATTTTTTTACTGCACCTCGCAGAACATTTTTCACAAACTTCAATAAATCCCCCGGCTCCCTCCCTTCCCACATAGCAATTCACGTTATAAATGAGCTGCCACTGGAAAGGGAGTCATAGGGCACCATGAAGACCCCCTACCCTGAACACGATCTAGAGTGCATTCATTGATGATCATTGTCCCTTATTATGAATTCATGGCTTTTCTCCCATGCCATAAACGACACTTTCATCCGATATAAAGCTGGTTGAGGGGGGGGGGGGGTATATTTGCCGTTAGTGTATTCGTAAGTTAAACATTTCTCATCACTCATAGCACTTAATTTTTTAGACATGCTGAAAGAGCTTGATGATGAGCTATACCTTGATCTGCTACAGCAAGAAGGCACAAAGGATGGTACAGTCAAAGGTATACTCACACAACTATAGTCTCTCGAATGAACGACCTTTATTATTTAGTCTAGGTTACTGACACCCCTCTCAATAAAAAACCCTTATACAGTCGCGACCTGGTCTGGGAGAAGCCCTCTAAAATGACTTGTCAAGAGTTCAGTCCGGCTCTTGACGAAGAGCAGGAGGAGCGTTGGCCCTGGAAACAAAAAAAAGATATTTGTCCACGAATGAGCCAGAGCTATTTTGTTTTTTTCTCTTAAAAAGAAGTCTTTAAAAGTACAAAAAAAAAAAAAAAAACCAAAAAAAA